CCTGAGCGGAAGTCATCATCATCAGAGTCAAGTGAATAGTTATCTTCCGTCACTGTTCTAAGTCCATTTCGTTTAAAATGAATGGTCAGTTTTGCCGTGATGTTAGTGGCTGTAGGACTTAAGTGGCGTTAGTCGATCGACAGTGATTGGATTGTTTCCATCCGTTTGTAAAGTTAGGTCGTTCTGCTCGGTTCCTTTGTAATGTTACTGGCGCTGGTAGTAGTTCACACATCTGTTGAGGGGAGTCTTCTACTTTAGTAAATCCGCTTTCCAGTCATTCGTTGAAAGTAGCGCTGTAGATCGGGCGCTGAGCAGTGTCCCAGTCAATAGTGGAGCTCTCAAGTCTCTGATGTTAAGCAATATGATTGCTGACATCACCTTTCCTCGACACTCACTTGTATTCAGTCAGTCTTGTTGTGAGGTTTCTGTCAGTCTCTCAGATGTAAGAGGCGTGGCAGTTGGAGCAACTGATCTAATAAGCCACTCCCTGTCTGTTCCTCGGTTCGTCCTCGTCTTTGTCGTTTGCTAGTAGCTGACGTAGTGTAGTGATGGGTTTGTGGGCGACACTGATATTGAAGAGTTGTGGCCTGGGATGGGCGAGATGTTCTCTCACAATTCCTTTATGTACGATATATTCACTGTAGTCGTACAACATTTCAAGCCCCGATAGAAAAACTTATCCATATTACAAGTTATTACAACCTTAAGCTGTGATTCTGCAAAGGCTAGCACCCTCACTCAATTCAACGTCGAGTCCAAGGGAAACTGCAGACCAAACATCCAACACGTGTTGATTCGTTTCACTGAGAAGCGACTCATTTAGCTTACTTTGGGAGACTCAGATTATATTTTTCGTAAAGATTGCGTACCTTCTGTTACAGCAAAGGAGACTTCTTTCAGTGGCTCCTCTTAAAATGGTAAGCATCTTTCTATATCCAGAGTTCAACTTTATCATCAGGAAGACACGTCTTCACTCTTCAAAGCTAAGGACAGCGTGGTTTGATAAAATTTTCCAATTTTTTAATAATTATGGATCAACAACTCTAGCCAGTGATCAGTTGAAACGTCATACATAGTCGTATATGTGAACGATCCTTCGCAGTAAAGCACTATATGAGCAATAGTGAAAATCAGACCTGAAAAAAAATTTCAGGCCTGTACGGGATTCGAACCACTGACCTCTGCGATACTAGTGCAGCGCTCTACCAATTGAGCTAACAAGCCAACTGGGAGTAGGCCATCAAATTAATTCGACATAAACCCGTAGATGATAAATCAAACAACAACAAACATATGAAACATATGTATGAACTGCGGTTATGAGACGTATATGTGAACGATCCTTCGCAGTAAAGCACTATAGCGCTTTACTGCGAAGGAAATAATAATGAAACCTAAGATGGTGTTTAATCCTCCCTTTGAGAAAATGATTTCAAGATAAAATGACGAAAGTGTTTTAAATTCTATACAAAATTCCGCAAGTGAGGAAAATAACAACGATACATCGACACAATTCAATGAAAATGATTCGAAGAGAAATAATTAAATCCCCGTTTAAAAAAATTATCAGAAAAAAAATCGAACATTTTAGGGTATTGAAAAACGCAGCACCATGCTCACGAACATTCCCATTTCTCGGGAAAAATGAACCACAGAGCATACAAACCGGGGGAAAATAAGAAATGCCAGCAGGCATTGTAACTGTCTCATGATTATCTGTCCATCAAATTTTAATCAAGTCATAGCATCCTTACATGTTTTTCGGATCAAAGTCAATGACCTGTCTGTCCAAATTGTTTCCGACTTATGACGTGTGTCAATCAATGATAGACCAATAGAAACCTAGCAATCGTTGTATAAGAGTGGCTGTGAGTCGGAATGGCATGATCATACGTGGGACCAAAGTGACGATGAAGACAGTTCGATTTCATCCAATCAGACAAGTGGCGTACCTCACTGAAATTCATCCCTACATAGAAGTCGAAGAGAAGATAAATACAATCAAACCAGTCCTGGATACTCCGTTTAAACACAAAATAAAAGCGCTAAAAGAGAGGTAACATAGCAAGTACCTATATACAAGCACGTTTTACACAAAAACTCGACATCTGTATGTGATAAAGGGATTGGAAGAATTATAATTCAAAAACCATAATCCAAAGACGACTTATTTAGCTCATATGATATGGACTTGCTTTACATGTAGCGAAACATGACTAAAACGTGGAAACATTGCCACGGTCGCTACGCGACAGCATTCCGGACGCGCGCGCAGGAGCAGGAAAGAGGAAAAGAAGGAAAGAGTGTACATGGAATGATCTAGTATCACTGTATTAAACTGTTTTAAACTGTCACATTTGTTGGTGGTAATGTCTTACCGCGAGTGTATATGAGTCTCAAGAACTGAGTAAAGTTAAGGAATAAAATGACTAGAACGAGTGAGTCCATGTGAAGAATAAATTATATTACTTGAAGAAAGAGGAGGAGGAGGAAGAGGAAGAACAGGAGGAATGAGGAGGAATGAGGAGGAGGAATGAGGAGGAGAAGGAAAGAGGACGAAAGAGGAGGAATGAGGAAGGAGGAGGAGGAAAGAGAAGGAGGAAGGAGGAGTAGGAGGAGGAGAAAGAAAGAGGAGGAAAGAGGAGGAGGAAGGAGGAGGAGGAGGAGGGGAAAAAGGAGGGGGAGGAGGAAAGAGGAGGAGGAGGAATGAGGAAGGAGGAGGAGGAACGAGGAAGGAGGAGGAGGAGTGAGGAGGAGGAAGGAGGAGTAGGAGGAGGAGGAAGAAAGAGGAGGAAAGAGGAGGGGAAAGGAGGGGAGGAGGAGGAGGAGGAAAGAGGAATGAGGAATGAGGAGGAGGAATGAGGAGCAGGAGAAAATAGGAAGAGAAGGAGGAATGAGTAGGAGGAATGAGCAAAGAGAACTCGTCCTTATAAGCTAAAAGAGAAAATCCCAGCACCCTCCTTTACTACCAGAAATGGCTGTAGACCACATGTCTGCAAAGACAGGTCCATTGAACAGACTGGTAGAATCGAACACAGAGGTGTCGCAGGTAACACCTAGAGAGTTTGATGTGATAGAGATTTCTAATAACGGACTAGCAGATGATGTACATTTCTAAACTTAGTATGGTCATAAATAAAATTTGACAAAAAATTGTTTACAACATGATTTTATTTTGCCTTTGTTTCGCGTAAACATACACGCATACTATGCCCCTACTACAGTGGTTACACAGTGTTCATTTCTTCCTCTTTTTCATCATCATCGTTGTCGCTTTCATCCAATAACGGTTTGTTGATCAGACGATTCAATAGGAATTTTCTCCTGTCCACGGCAGCCTCTAATGCCTCCTCCCAGTCCATACCGTATTCATTCATCAATCGTCGAGCGGTATACATGGCTTGCCTATGTATTTTATCCTGTTTAATATGGTTATACCACTTTAGACGATGCAAGTATATCCTTCTCAAGTTACGCCTAGCTAAAGGTAAGAGCGAATAGTGATTCTCGGATGTCCCCTCTTTCTCCTGTTCTTCTTCTTGTTCAGCCAAAGTTGTTTTCATATCATCTTTCACATCCTGTTTCAATTCTGACCAGGGATTCACACTGCCATTGTCATCATCATCATCATATTTATCATCATCCTTGTCTTCATCTTCACTTTCATCATCATTGTCTTCATCATCTGTGTTCTCAGGCTCTTCATCTTCATCTAGTGGTTCGCCAAAGACATCTAGATCCTGAGAATTATCAGTCATGGTCACACACACGCACTGTAAGTTTTCTCGATGTGTACTTGCTAGTGGTTGTTCCTAAATGATTTCTGACCAATGTGTAGGGCTGTTTTAAACTTTCACTTTTCTAGGATACAATCGCATACATCCTTCATGTGTCAAAAGATGGCTGAATACGCGGTGAGCATCCTTACTAGCAGGATGTAAATCCAGGGTGATATACCCGTAGGGTCGTTGAGTTGCCTCACAATACACTTGCATAATATCTTGCCATTCCATGGGAAAGGCTTGTAACAATAAATGTTTGAAACCCAATTGATCACGTGCGTTTTTGAAAGCAACCACGTTATGAGCATTTCTTGAAATACTTTTTGCATATTTGCTAGGTGGAAACATATCTTGACAAAGATAGATAACAGTAATGTTACGATGATGAGAATGTTTGGTGGAAAGGTCTAACACTTCTTTATCGTCTCCTCCTTCAGTCATAAGATCATCCATGACCAGTATTCCACCATCTTTAGGGAGCCATTGCTTTAACTGTTCTTCATTGGTTAGGTTATCGTGAAATTTTATACCATGTTGATGCATCTCACGGTATCCATCTTGCCAAGCACCGCAACAGTAGTGAATGACGGCAGGGGGTGACGCAAAAAATTCATCCAAATGTTGTAGCAGTAATGATTTTGTGAAGCAAGTTTTACCGCATCCCGAAGGATCCACGATGAATATGCTACTGGGTGATTTGAATTTGAAACCCTCACACCACCTTTGTGATAGATCGAACGACTGAGTCGGGTCTGTAGTCACGGGTGGGATGGAATGGGTATCCACAGCTGAAGGGAACCATTGATTTGGATTGACCCTTGAGTTCACGCATGAATTTTTCTCGTGACGCTCTTTGTTATCCGAACGCGTAAATGCTCTATTGTAGTAGCGGCAAAGGTGTGGCATTATCCTATCAGAAGTTTATCAAGGTATTACGACTCCCATTTCGTGTCACAGCGATACTAATGAAAAAATTTAAGGTTCTCTGCTTTTTATGTATTATTGTCTCACCACGTTCCCTAACCTATCACCGCCTCATACACCATTAACACCCTCTTCCCCCGTGTGTAAGATATCTTTGTTCTCGCTAGATTTTGAGAATGTGTCTAACTTGGCACAGAGTTGATCGTATTTTTTCTGTTATTCAATCAATTCAGTTTTCCCCCGTGCGTGGTGAGATATCTTGGGTGTCTTTTCTTTCCTGCCTTCCACTACTTGTCACTCACTTTGTCGCTGTTGTAGCAGGGATTGATATTGTTCTTTGTGTACGGCAAGATTCTTTTCAATCTCTTGAATCGCTTGATCTAAGACCGTACATTCTACTTGATAGTATGCTTCATTGACACGTTTCTGAGCTTCAGGAGTTTGCATCTTAGGGTAATGTTTCATTGATTTCAATCTTTTGGGGAACGTTTCATTCTCGGCATGTTTTTTATATTCCTTCAACACATTTTCCTGATACTTTACGCGAGCATGAACAGCATGCATTTTTTGTCGATACGACTTTAGAACCGCGGAAAGATCCTGAGTACTCGCCATCGTCCGCACTCTGCGTGAGCAGGTAAGAAATGAGTGGTTAGGTAGACACTTAGAGTTTTATCATATTGTATACATCCTTCTCCGTTATGTTTAACAAACTTTAACAAAAGCGCACATCGAAATATTATTTTTAATAATTCAAAGTGCGCGCTCATATAGAACCAAAAGTTTATTTTTCTTATATACGAGACGGAACTGTCCCTCTCGTTCATGTGGTATCGTATATTTTCTATTTCGTCCTCCTCCTCTTTCCCCCTCCTCTTCTTTCCTCCTCCTCTTTCCCCCTCCTCTTCTTTCCTCCTCCTCTTTCCCCCTCCTCTTCTTTCCTCCTCCTCTTTCCTTCTCCTCCTTGTTCCTCCTCCTCCTCTTTCCTCCTCCTCCTCCTACTCCTCCTTCCTCCTCCTCATTCCTCCTTCTCCTTCCTCATTCCTCCTTCTCCTCCTCTTTCCTCCTCCTCCTCATTCCTCTTTCCTCATCCTCCTCCTCCTCCTCATTCCTCCTCTTCTTTCCTCCTCATCCTCCTCCTCCTCATTCCTCCTCCTCCTCCTCATTCCTTCTCCTCGTCATTCCTGCTCTTCTTTCTTCAAGTAATATAATTTATTCTTCACATGGACTCACTCGTTCTAGCCATTTTATTCCTCAACTTTACTCAGTTCTAGTGATCACACTCACGCGTTACAGTTTCTTTTTAATTAAGATTCGAACTAAAGTAAACATTTGTATTAAGGAAAAAGCTATCGCATGTTTATACTTCGAACGGACCATTGTTCATTTTCAGAGAATACTCATGTAATCACCTTCCGAACTATTTTCATTTTATTAGAGTGGGATGAATTATTCATATCCCATCATAGGTTTTAGGCGGAAACAAACCTCTTTTATTCTCGATTTTTTTTACACTATACGAATGCTAATGACATCTTGAAATCACTTTTACCATTGGAAGTATGAGTCACCATCTTGCGTTTCATTGCTTCCATTGTTTGTCTCACTCTGATGTTTGACTGTTAAGGTTTTGATTTTGATTTTGATATGAGAATTGGGCTCATGGTGAGAGTTAGGGGTGTGGTCGTGTGAGTGACCGCAATGACCCAGGTTCGAACCCTGGTCACGACATTTTTTTTCCCTTTTATTCTAAAATAAAGGCTTTTTTGAATTTTTATTTTATCTTGAAATCATTTTCTCAAAGGGAGGATTAAACACCATCTTAGGTTTCATTATTTTTATTGTTTTTACACCATCTTAGATGACTTATTTTTTTCAAATTAGGAAAAAAAAAACACGCTCCTATAACCTACGTAATTGAACCCTAAACCAGGACTTATTCAACGCTTTTAATTTGTGTTTCCTTCCTACATCTCTCATACATTTCCTTCTAATTTTCAAGTGTGGATACTCTATTGTCCTATAACCGGTATGGGTAGTTGCGTGATTCTGTGTATCATTCATAATAAACACACATATTTCGTCTAGCCACTTTGTTTTCTAGAGTGCTCTTATTATTTTTAAATTGTTCTGTCAAAACGCTTCCCTATCTATTTCTTCTTCTTATAGTACACACCATTCACATTGACCGCAATCACAGGAGAAATCGTAAAAGTCAGACATTATGATACTGACCAAGAGTTTATAGCGACAATGTCTACCCGAACACTTTGACAGCTTGTTAATCTCTGTCTTACGATCGTACATCTCTTACTTCTTTTAACCGTAAAAGTCACGCGTCCTGAATAACCTGTACCACATGCGTGTGAAAACCTTTTGGGACTCTTATAAATACAACTTCTGCTCATAGTCTTAGTCGATTAGATTAGTATGTCTAACCCGCGATACCCAAACGCGTAATAAAGAGTCCACTCTCTTTTCCCTGTGTTGTGTGACAATAAACATTACGTATGATGCACGATCCTCACAGTAGATACCGCAGTTCAAAATATATGAACTTCATATATTTCGTTGTATCTAATAAACATTACGTATGCGAAAACAGTGTGTTGGAGTTAACCCCTCCGCCATCTTGGATTCTTTTGTTCCCATTGTTTTGAGAAAACCGTTATTTTTTAAAATGAGACGCGAAAAAACCCTACACACGAACCAACGTGAAATGTAACCCTAGCCTCCCCAACAACCTTAACCCCAACAACCCTAGCCCCAACATCCCTAAACCCCAACATCCCTAAACCCCAACAACCCTAAACCCCTCGTGCACCTACGCCGCATGAATAAACCCTAAAACCCCCCTCGCGCACCTACGCCGTATGAATATTTAATTGGAACCCACTCGGCCGAATCACTCGGGCCCAGACCGCGCGGAAGTTGCCATAAACCTTTGATTCCAAAGTGGGAGAAGAATCTACTTTCCATCAATTGTACAGAGACATGATGACAGCTTTTCAATCAAAGTGACATTTTTTACGTTTATGTATAACCTAAACTTACCTTTTTACATTCATTTCAAACACCATGTCATCTGAAAAACAACTGTTCCTAGCTCATTTGGACCAAGAGATCGAACAGAACCCTCAATGGGCCGGAGCCGTCCTAGACAAATTATTTGCCGTCGTCAAAAAAAAAAGCTGCTACGCAAGATCTTTGTGAAATACGCAGACAAGTGACTAAATACATTGACGAGATTGAAACCTATGATTCCAACACGGGAGAACATTCTACTTTCCATCAATTATACAAAGATATGATGACAGCTTTTCTTGCTTATCTTACCTATTTACAAATATCATGCAGAATGAACAAATAAACCATAGTTAATCCCTCCGCCATCTTGGATTCTTTTGTTATCTTTGTACTTTTTTGTACCGTTACTTTTTAAACCTGAAACCCTACTCACGAACCTATACGAAAATTAACCCTAACCCTAAAAATCCTCGTACAACTACGTCAAACCCTAATCCTAGCCCCTTTATACACCTACGTAATATTTAACCCTAATAACACCCTCGTACACCTACGCAACGTGAATAAATTAACCTCAACAAAGACACTCGGACCCAGGCCGTGCGGTTTTACCCATACAGGCCCCCTAGACTACTATTGTACAAGACTTTTCGCAAGATCTCCGAGTGTTTTTTTTGTACGAGAAAACCGTCGCACGGTAATTTAACACTTGTGTGTTTGTCATAACAGTACTGTTGTTTATTCAAAAGCGTACGCTTTTTTCCTCTTCAATTGACAAGTGTCACATCGTGACATTTACTTATCAAAAAATGTTTAAAGTTTACTCATAAGCCTTTTAAGTTACTTTATAAATAAAATGTTTCGTTGAAAGTTTTCTCTTTAATTTGAATATCGTCTGTTTTCTTTGTTATCCACTCGCTAACAAAATGTTATGTTTATAGAGGATTTTCCCGTGATCAAACTTGTAGTTGTAGCCTAAATCATTCGGGTTCTTTTGGAAATCACTTTTTTGTGTTTTAGAAAAAAATAAAAATGTTATTGACCAGCATAGGTCGGCCCGTAAGTATTGAGAAAAACTGTGCCCTCTGTCTTGAGTACCAACCGAGGCCGTAGGCCGAAGGCGGTATCCAAATCTCGGGTAGAGATTTTCCCATTACGGACCTCCCGGCTGGTCAATAACATATATTTATTTTATTTCAGAAAATTTAGATAAAGATACAGAGATGAAGCCCACTGTCGACATCATTTGTAATGGAATAAGATCAAAATAAAGATTGCAGATGCTTATTTTTCCTTAAAGATAAATAAATTGCGCGTTGTAAATCTTTTATTAAGGAGGGCAAGTTTAAAGGAACGTGAAATGATCCTACATAACTTTAGGCCTCTGCGTAGGGAAAGAAAAAAGAACGCGAAATGATAAAAGCGTTGCGACTGAACATTCCTCGTAATCTGATTTCATTTCTTTTATTGGAATTACGAGTTCACTGCTGTTGTAAAAAGATATCCTAAACGACTAAATGACTCCTAGGTAGAAATAGAGGTCAGAAATCATCGTGTGTTTTTGGCAATACGCTATCATTATTGATGATTGGATCCTGCCCAGTTTGGCGCAATACCAAAGTCTTCAACAAGCTTTGCCTAATTAGAGATGCTCTATGAATGGTCTAAAGGGACTGACGGGACTGGCCCAACAGCAAGAGTACTTATGTTCGATTATAAGAAGGCATTTGACTTGATCGACCATGGTATAGTCGTCAATAAGTTATGCCAACTTGACATAGTACCGAGTGTAATCAACTGGATTATTGATTTCCTGTCAGACCGTTATCAGAGAGTTAAGATGTCTGATGGGTGCGTATTGGAGCGGGGCTCTGTTCCATCTAGTGTCCCGCAAGGTACCAAATTAGGTCCCTGGATTTCCTTGACTATGATAGACGATTTAGCGATCGCCAACGCCAACGCCTCCCTATGGTAATTTGTCGACAATATGACGGCCTAAGAAGTTGCGAAGAAAGGTCACCCCAGTGGAACTCAAAATACTACGAACTAAGTAATAGGGTGGTCGAAGAAAAATAGACTTATACTAAACACAGACAAATGCGAAGAGCTACGAATTGGTTTCTATTCAGTTCCAAGGGATTTCGATCTAGTTTCAATAGATGGTAAACACATGAAATTGGTTAAACAAGCCAAACTCTTGGGTGTTATCATCTCCGAAGATTTGAAATGAAAGGCTCACATAACTGAGATTACTAAGAAAGCAGCAAAGAGAACCTATTTCCTTGTTCAGCTAAAAAGAGCTCATGTTCCACCAAAAGACCTTTGCCTCTTTTATACGGCATGTTTACGATCCGTAATCGATTATGCTGCACAAGTTTTTCATTACTCACTCCATGAATACCTCCACCAAGAACTAGAACGTATTAAGGAAAGATCCATGAGAATCATTTGTCCTGGTATGCAATACGAACAGGCCTTAGCTATTATGAATCTTCCAACTGTGAAAGACCACCATGAAAATATGTGTACAGCAACATTGTGCAACATAATGAACGATCCTTAGTACAAATTAAGCAAACTTTTACCACCCCGCTATATAAGCTCTCATAGGTTAAGGCACGAGCGTACCTTTGCTTTGCCACTTTGCAANGAAAGTTTGGAACAAAATGTTTTTCAACAGTCTGTTGTGATTTGTTTGAACATTAATATTAGTTGTTGAGGTTTTGATGTGTGGTTAAGAGCAGATTGCATGCATTTCTTTAAAAAAAATCTTAGCCACAACCTTGTATCATTGCCTGCACTTATCTTTGAACTAACAGAAGACTAGGTGACCGATTCCGAGAACACCTTCGAGACGTGGAAAGGAATGACAAGGACACATCGAAACCAGTCGCTAGACATTTTAATTTACCTAATCATTCTAAGCAACATATGGCAATCTGCGGTCTTTCCTTGCACTTAGGTGGCACGGAAAGCCGTAAAAATCTTGAACAAAAGCTCATCTTTCAAACCGGCAGTCTAAATCCCACAGGGATCAATGAACGCTTTTCATTCCACTAATTTATTCATGTTTTTCTCGTTGCCATGCTCCCACCAATAACGTAGCTCCATTTTCTGCCTTTAAAAGCACACACAACCCACAATTCCTCTATTCGCTCCGACGAAGGGCTAACGCTCGAAACGTCAGCTTTTGTAATCATTACGGTGGCCAATTTACCATTTCAACTTTGTTGATATATCCAAATTATTTCGTTACTCCCACCGACGCAGCCCCAAACAGTTTCTTTCGAAACTATCAGCCTTTAATTAAAAATGAGTTTCCATATTTTCTTGTTCAAACCCTAATTGCAGCCGAGTGGTTTCAGTGCTACATATTCTTAGCTCTATCTCCGGCGTTCTAAGTACAGCAGTTCGGTATATTCTATCGATTTGTCCCGTCTTCATGGCTCTTCTCTTCTTAGTGCAACACAAACGTAGCACTTGCTGAAACTCAGGAATTCTCAGTGCATAGACAACTGGATTTAAAAAAGAGCTAGAATAATTTAAAATGTTCACCGCGAAAATAACCTTATTCTTTATAACAGTTTTAAAGACTAAAACGTTTATGATAAGCAAGGGGAGCCAACTTATTAAAGCTAACATTGATACATAAAAAAGGATCTTTGTTAAGCGTTTGCTTTGCGAGACTCTGTTTTGCTGTTGTGAAGGAACACTTCCCCATTGAAAATTTCGCCAGATCCCAATGTTACAGACAAATAAAATGGTTGTTAGACACAACACAACGGCGACTCCCGTATAATGAGCAGTTTCAAATGAACTAAAAACAGATAACAAATTTAGTATTGTAGAAAGCAAGACAGCGAGTGTCCAAAGTATGAAAATGGCGATGCGGTATGTTCTGGTTGACAGTGATCGATGTTTAAAAGGCCAATATACGGCGTAAAATCTCTCACAGGATATATAGACCGTAGATAGATATGAGCCGAACGAAAAAATGGTATCGGTAAATCTGAAGACCAGATGAAAGCCATAATTTCCTGTCCAAAGCTGATAGGCTTCTCCAACATAATAAATATAGATGGGTACGGAGCAGCTTCCTAACATCAAATCAGCAAACGCCATGTTCATAACTAAGAAAAAACTTTTCCTGCGAAGTTGTTTGGTAACTGCAAAGTTGACAAGAGTGAGCAAGTTTCCTACAATAATTAAGACGGACGATAAAATGAAGGCGCTGCACAATGTCATGCCTTCTACCTTGGAAGAAAAACGTTTTGGGAGTTCGGACCCACTTTTCAGGCTTTCGTTCACTGTCGACGTGTCAATCATGATCAGTGTTATCGGGGAAGGCCGGAATCAATGCTTCAAAGAAGAAGAGCACAACCTTTGGCAACGACAAGAAATAACAACAGCTGAAAAGCTATTTGCATGTCATGGTAATTTTACTCCAGGTGTTTATATAGTTGAAGTAGACAGTGCATTTTAAATCAATATCATGCGACTTAAGACCCTTCTTGTCACAATAAATGTCCTTTTATTAAAAAACGTATTAGTTGTTCATGTTCTTTTTCTTTCACGGAAAGTCAAACTTTAAGTGAATGCAAATGTATTTTGGAGGTGTCAGAGCCTGCTTGTTTTTTTCTGCAATGGCGTATGTAAATCTTGTCTTTCTTCCACCAAAAACCAAAAACTGAAGTCAAATGAAACGGTTTTCCTAGCCAGACAAAAGAGGATTTAATGCCACTTTCAATCATCGAATTCCTTCGGTTTCTATTCTAGAATCTACTATAGAAATATCCAAATCCAAGAGACTTTTAAAGAATAAGCGAAATGTGTATTTATAGAAGATCTCAAAACTTCGCTTAAAGTTTACAAACGAACAAATTGTTTTGGAGAGTTAAAATGAATGAAAGTCAAGTTGATTAACGAAATTTTTCATATGCAAATACCTCTCGTTTTAACTTTTTGAGCACTTTTTGTGAAGGATAACTAAATTAACCTAAATTACAAATAGCTTTTAGGTGGCGCTTCAATCGTCTGAGATAACAAATTTAGTACAACAAAATCTATTTCGAAATCAATTTTTGCGAAAAAACCAAATTTACTAAAGAGAGAAAGAGAGAGAAGGAAAATTAATGTAATTGATCGTCAAAGGTCATGACCGGTCTTTGCTTCAAATTGCTGCCCTACCAATAAAACAAAATATATTTATGAAAAATTGCAACAAAGCTAGAGATGTTGTCCATGGAGACTGAACACAAAAAGGATACCGCCGAGAAACACTGTCCGCTCTTGGAACCAATCAGTTCGCAAGATTTGTGGAATACCGTTCGCGCACGAACTAAGAAAAAAAAAACTTTAATGCGAGTTAAATTGTTAGCAGGTTACTTGCCCAGCTCAAATTTTCTTCGTAAGTCAACTAGGGAGTTATTATTTCTTGATGAGGGATAATCTTCTTTCGAATGATGAACTGAATGTGTAACAAATGAAGATTCCTAGGCGTTGGAAATTCTATAAGTCCCGGTTTAAAAAAAAAAATCACTTCAGACATATTCCATCTGCTCACAACAACAACTTTTAATATTAGTTCCGGT